ACCAACTTGGTAATATATGGAGGGGAAACCCGGCGTCCGGGCAAAACTCCTCGAAAAAAAGAAACCCTACCACCACAAAATCCGTCGCTATCCCAGCGGATCACAACGGCCGCACGTATTAGAAAGGCCAAGGCGAAGACAAGAACGCGACGAACTACGTTCCCCCGGACGATGGTCTCCCAACGCCCCCTACTCCTGCCATTGGTACACAGACCGCAACAGTTATGCGNCTCCCTCACCGGCCACTCCCCTCCCTCCTCATCCTCTCGCTTCGGTCCTAGATTGGCACCAGGGGTAGCGGGGATGTGGGAAGTTGATTGCACATCGAAGCGTTCAACCATGCTGTCGATATACGCGGTTTGGGAGATTCTAAGAGTCCCAGCCTCTACATCTCTCTCGATGGCACACCCATCAAACCATTGACACTCTCCAAGGTTTTTGGTGGGAAATTTCTTGTTGAGAGAAGCAAGCAACTCCTCGCAATCCTCGTCAGACCCAGCCACCAAAATGTCATCCACATAAATCACGATAATCATCACCACGACTTCGTCTACCATCTTGCGGAAAACACACGGGTCCGCCTTGCATTGCTCGAACCCNCATCACCGTCAACTACAAACGTCTCGACGCTCTGGTGAATTTGGATGGACAACCCCTCCCTCGAGTGGACAGTATCTTGGATTCTCTGTACACCGGGAAAGTGTTCTCCATCTTCGACCTCAACTCGGCTTTCCACCAGATCGTTTGTGATGAAGACACTGTCCCGCTCACCGCCTTTTGCACTCCCACGCAGTTGTTCGAATGGCTTCGGATGCCGCAGGGCGCCAACGCAAGTCCGTCTTGGTTCGTCAAGGTCATCAACAGAGTGGTGCACGGTCTGGAGCGTGTGCTGGCTTATCTGGACGATGTCATCTGTTTCGATGAGGAACCTCTGGGACACGTGCTAAACTTGATCGGGTTCTTCAAACGACTGCGACAGTACAACCTCAAACTGTCCCCAGGGAAGGGTCGCGTCGGCGCCACACACGCCAACTTTCTCGGTCACACTATCTCTCCGGCAGGTGTTAGCCCTGATGGCGTCAAGGTTAGGGCGCTCACGCACATGCCGCCGCCGACGAATGTTAAGCAGCTTCGGAGTCTTCTCGGTGGACTCAGCTACT